GGTTTGGAAAGTTTTCTTCCAGGATTTCATGGAATAGATTATCAATGGCCTTATGAGTCTCTTTGCCTTCTAGGATACCAATTATCCAGATGTTTGGATGTTTGATGGCATCTAGTATTTTTCGTACATTATTTTCATTTTTGGGGGGGCAATTTTCTCAGTCTTTGTGGTGAATTTTTCTAGGCCAGAGGGTCCATCTTTTACATCTGAGATTTGATTTTCTGTATGATCTAGTTTGCTTTTAATACTTTCAAGAGAAAGTATTGTAGCCTTCATCTCTAACAGATCAATTTGACTCTTTTTTTATACTGTGTATTTCCTCTTTTAGATCTTGCAAGAATTTCCTCACCTCCTGGAATTCATTGGCTACTTTCTCCTGCCTCTTCTGCAGTTCAATGTCTCTCTTCTCTCCCATCTCTATCAGTTCTGTCACTATGAATATTATAAATTCTTTATCAGACATTTCCATGAGTTTGATTGTACTGTCTGAGGATGAAGAGAAGTTATTCTTTTCCCTTGAAGAAGAGGTATTTTCTTGCTTTCCCATATTTCTTATGAACCTGCAATGATTTCTAGTCATCTGACGGATGGTGTGTTTCTTCCGAATTCTTGGAGTTCAATCTGGGCGTTTAAAGGCATGCCGAAGGAGGTAATCTGCAATCTCTCTTCTGTTCTGTTTTCACTCTTTGTGCATCAGATTCAGTGGGAACAGAGGAATATTCTGACCCTAATCGTATTCATATGTTTGGATCCTGTTCACTTGGACCTGTCTAGACACTTAGTGGTAGAGTCCACTAGAAATAATTCTGGAGGGGGAAATCTCAACAGAAAATTTTCATTTTTGGTCAAGGAAAGCAGTATTTCACAGCTCAAGTTCAGTATCCATCTCAGAATGGGCCTGACCTGGGTTTGTGCCTTCCCCACTAGAAATTATTCTGCTGGGGAAAGTCTCAGCATAAAATCTTCATTTTTGGTCAAGGAAAGCAATATTTCACAGTTCAAGTTCAGTATCCATCTCAGGATCCCATTTTTTTTTTTTTTAAGAGTGAGAGTTCTCAGAATTGAGATCAATAAATTCTATAGGTGAATAATAAAAACTTGATATAACTAATCTATGCTTTAAGGGGTCAGGACAGTGGTTACACTTGGCAGACGATACCTGGGAAGTGATTTGAGAGAGAAGTTTCAAGGTGATGGTTTTGTTTAGCTTCTTGATCTGCATGCTGGCTTGTTTGGAAAATTCTTGTTTGTGAAAACTTATCAAGTTAAAGATTTGTCATATGAGTGCATATGAGTGATTTTCTAAATGTGTATTATACTTCAACACAACTTTTTAAAAAATCCAATGGTGAGGGGGGAAGCAGATGGTGTAGTGGTTAAGAAGCTGGACTCCCATATAGCTAACCACAGTTGTGAGTCCCAAACCTGGCAGCTTAAACACACACCAAGCATGTGTGAGAATCCCAAGAGGAGAATGGAAGAGAAGGGATCGTGGTGCGGCCATCCCTGGGAGAGGAGGGGTGATTTCTGTCTCTCTGTCACTCTGTCTCTCTCTGTCTCTTCAGTGAGCACATGTGCCCAATAGCAAAAATCTCTCAAAAAGAAAAATCTTATAGGTTGGGGCCAGGATGTATCATATTCATTAAGGCACTGAATCCCACATGGCTGACTCCGCAGTTCAAGTCCCATTGCCAGAGGCATTAGAAACATGCCGGCATGTGTGCATGTGTACCCAAATTCTAAGAGAAGAATAGAAGAGAAAGGATTGAGGTGTGGCCATACCCCTGGAGCAGGGGATGATTTCTCACATTACATAGTTTTCTCAGTTTCTCTCAGGTGAGTGCATGCACCCTGTCACAAAAAATATCTTAAGGAAAAAAAAAAATCCTGTGATCAGCAGATGGTATAATGGTTACATCATTGGACTGCCACATGGCTGACCACAGTTCAAGTTCTGGACCAGCAGTTTGAAACTCATATTGGGCTCATGTACTTGCATGCTCAAAATCCAGAGAGGTGAGTGGAGGAGAACGAATTATGATATGGCCATCCTCCTTTCTCACTTTATTTTTCTTTGTCTCTCTGGTGAGTGCATTAAAGCATAATCTATAGCAAACTCTCTCTTAAGAAAATAAAACAGGGATCAGCAGGTGGCATGGTGGTTAAGGCAGTGGATACTCCCACATGTCCAACAGCAGTTTGAATCCCGGACCTGGTGGCTTCTTTTCTCACTTTCCCTCTCTTTTTCTCTCTTTCTGGTCAAATTAAAATAAATTAATAAACAAATGTCTCTGTCTTTCTCTGTCTTTCTGGCAAGCGAATATGCCCTACAGCAAAAACCTCTCAAAAAAAAAAAAAAAGAAAAAGAAAAGCATCCATGACCCCAGCCCAGGGAGGTACTAGAACCAGAAATCCAATAGAACAGAAGGAACATCTGCTTCATAAGGCCTGTGTTTATCTTTACCTGCAATGGCCACAGCTGTTCTTCTCTCTGACGTTTTTATTTCTGGGGCCACATCTCCCAAATCTGAATGCCTAAAACAATTTCAAAAGAAAATTACAATTAAAATAATGAAACACCAGTTTCACCCACCAAACTGGCTGCACATGAAAATCTCTTTTAAAAACTACCAACCCTGGGTCACATTCCAGATCCATGAACCAAAATCTCTGAGAGCCAGTCACGGGCATCACACTGCTTTTACAAGTGCCCTCAATGATTCCGACGTGCAGCCACAGTTGAGTAATACTGGCCTAGAAAAACCAGCATGCTCAAAAACTGCTGGCTAGAGCACAACGCAGCCATCAGAAAGACATGAAAGTATACATACCCTTTGACCAGTAACTCCACTTCTATCCTAAGGAGATAATTGAAACTCAGTTACAAAGATGCTGATGCAAGCTTTAAATATAAAAGTGAAAAAAATGATGCCTTTTAAAATCAAAGTCCAATACCAAGGAGTTATGGTCATATCACATTCTACAGCTGTTACAAAAAAATTCTATGGATTTATTTCTGTGGGTCAAGTGATACTGGATGACATATTATGGAAAGATGTTAGTATGTTAATAACTGGGGGAAAGGCGGTAACAGCAGTATGTATAGAATGCTTACAACTTAATTAAATTATGCAGATTTAGCCACAGGTATATATAGAGAGATCCAGAGACTGTTCATCAAGTCAATAGTGTGGACAGGGAAGGGCAACCCTCCATTTTTATAAGTAGGTTTTATAGCTGTATCCATTTAAGAATAAACTATCTCGGGGTATCACAGAAAGGAGCAAAGGAGTCAATCTATTGAGATATCTGGCAGGATTCAAGGTTCTCCCTGCAATAGGAAGACATACTAAGGGAGGGAAGAAGCCACAACAGGACTCACAGAGACACCTGGACTCAGAGGTCCCAATATGAACCATGATTCCTAAATGCATGCTCATGTGCACGTGTGGAGGCATGCACAAGCAAATGTGTACACATCTGTTTCTGAACTCTGCCTCCCAAAAGATTCAAGAAGCAGACAATGTGGTGGCAACAAACTTCAATACTATGGCACGCTGACAGAGGCAAAAGCTCCTGTGAAAGCCGTCAAGTCAGGTTGAGGCAGAAAGAAGTGCTCAGGAGTCAGCATGCCAGGTCCCACTGACCAGATCTGGGGCAACAGGAACCCTAACATAATGAAATCTAAACCTACTGAAAATGGGAATTCATGAGTCCATGCAGATAATACATAGATCAGTAAAGGGCAAGCAAGAACAGGTCCCCACTCACAACAGAATGCTGACCATGTGGGTAAGCACGGCAGAAGGGACAGTATCCTTCACTTTTCTTTTAATTTTTACTATAGGGTGCACGTGCTTGCAGAGAGATAAAGAGAGAGGAAAAGTAAGAAAGTGCATCCTCCCCCCGCCCCCGGGGAACAGTCACACCACAATCCCTACCCTTCTGTTCTCCTTTCAGGACTTTGGGCATGCATACACACATGCCCAGCATGTTTCTTAAGCCAACGGATCTGAAACTCAAAGCGTAATTGGCCATATGGAATCCAGACTCCTGAACCACAATGCCACAGGCTGGCCCAGAGTATCCTTAACCACCACAATGGGGACTAGCTCAAATGAAAACAGACCTCAACAATGCTACTCAAAAAAAAAGTCGATGAGGAGCAAGTCTGTACCCAGAGTTAAATGGATCCTCTGAGACATATTCAGTGCCAGGGAAAAAAACAAGAGTAAGTCCACTACAGAGCTTGGGCTGTGCTTTGACTGGGTAACTAAGGGTTCCCTTGATGACAGGGACAGGTGGCCACATATGCCCTGCTTTGGTGTCCTGACACAGGGCACACTGTCTGTGCGGTATTCTGGCTGAGAAAGCAATACCCTGAGCTACCCACAGGTGAAACCTGGAGTGATGCACGTGGTATTAGAGAACAGGGTCACTCTAAAGTGTGAGTGTCCGAAAGACACTCAAAGACTGAGAAGACATCCCAGTTGCAAGGGTGCTACAGGCACCTGCAAACCAAACTTAGTGCCTGACCCTAGAAGGTCAAAGAGGGAGACTGGAGAGTCAACTGACAAAACTGAGTGCAGGCACCAGCAGAGTTGGCCTGCTGATGCCATTGGGAGGTGACAGAGGAAATCCCTATTCTCAAGAGGCTGACAGTGTTGCATGGGGAATGAAGTATAATGATGAGGCACCATCCCTCTGCTACCAAACCAATGTCTGTGTCACCTCAGAAACATGCATGCTGAAAACCAAACCCCCTATGCAATGGTATTAGGAGGTGGGGCTTTGGGTGGCAATGAGGTCATGAGGGTGGAGTCTTCACAGTGGGAGTAAGTGCCCTAATAAAGAGGCCAGAGGTGCTTTTTATCTCTTCTGCCAAGTGAGGACAGAAAGAAAGAAAAGGTGTACAAGAAACGAGCCTCACCAGAAGAGGACTTGATCTTGAACTTCTAGTTTCCAGAACTGTGGGAAGTGCGTTTCTGTTTATTCAAAGTTTATTTATTTCCTGAGAGAGACAGCTAAAGACAGAGAGAGAGCATAAGAACCAGAAGATTGGTAAATAATAATGGTAACCAATAAAATGTTACTGATGGGAAAGAATGAAAGAGGCCTTTGAATTTTTTAAGGACTTTTTTAAAATTTAACTTTATTTACTTACTTTAATTTAAATAGAGAGGGACAGAGTAGGGAGAGGAGAGAAAGAGAGAGAGAGAAAGAGAAGGTGAGAAAGCAAGGCGCCAGGTCCAGGACTAGAACCACAGTTGGCCATGTGGGAGTCCAGCACCCTTAACCACTACCACCTGCCAGCCCCCAAGGCCTTTGAATCTTTGTAGCTTATTTCTAAGCAGAAATCATTTCCAAACAAAAAATTTAGAACGGTAATAGTGGTGATACCTGGATAGTAGACATTAGCTTATTTTTGTCATATTTGAATAATTTTTCATAAACAAATGTTAATTTCATAAAAACTAATGGAGCTATTAAAATGGCAGCATGGGGACCTGCAGGTAGCATGACAGTTAAGGCACTGGACTCCCACATGGCCAACCATGGTTTAAGTTCCAGACCTGGAAGCTTACTTCCTTATTTTCCCTCTCTCTTTCTGTCTCTCTCTCTCTCTAGTGAGGGTACATGCCCTATAACAAATTTTTAAATAATAATAATAAAATAAAATATAATTATTTAAAAAAAAAAGGATGAAATGAGTTGGGAGAGGACCAGAGGAGATGAAGGGGTACCCTGAGATGACTGCTCACCTGGAGCCCTCCAACCCTGTTCTTCCCCAAGGTAGAATCCATGCTGGAGTCTAAAATGTGATGGGCCATGCTCCGAGAGTAACCAGTACAGTTCCTCCCCAAACCCTACTTGGTTCTCCCACAAGACCACAGATGTATGCTAATCAAACCACCCTTCCACAGGAATAAAAAAAATGCCAAGACTTCTGCTTGCTGTTCCAGCATGTTCCAGGTCTCTTCTCTGCCCAGAAGCTTTTCTCACTAAGGAATGGTCAGGAACAACAGCATTCACTGCAGTCATAGCTTCCTAGTCATTCTACAGAGGTGAGTGCAAAGCAACGTTCTGGCCTCATTTGACCCTGATATTAATAAAAATGGAAGGTTTTTTTGTTTTGTTTTGTTTTTAAATTTGCTAAAGGGCATACACACTCATTAGGGACAGAGGAATAAGAAGAAGATATCCCCCAGGAGGGATGGCCACACCACAATCGCTTCATCGCTTCTTCTCTATTCTCCTCTCAGGATTTTGGGCATGCACACACACACACACACACACACACACACACACAGACACACACACATACACACATACACACACCTGGTTTGTTTCTCAAGCCACCTGGTCTGCTACTCAAAACAGTGCCGTTAGCCATTTGGAATCCAGCCACCTTAACCATCACACCACTGGCTTGTCCTAAAAATGGGAGTTTTCATTGCTTCTCTTAACTTTTCTGCAAAGGATATAGATTGCGCTTATAATAAGAATAAACAAAAGTAGCCTTTAAAAAAAGGAGACAGTGAGGCTGGTTAAAACCAGCTCCCCCAAGGCCAAGGACATGGAGCCAAGGAACCCTAGGCAGGAAAGGGCACTGGTCAGCTGCCAGTGGTCCAGAAACAGGGGGCCTTTCCTGTGCAAACAGCTGTGCTCTCAGGCTGCAAGGCTAGTTGGGTGAGCAGCGTCCTGGCGGGAGCTTAGCCTCTGTCCTCTGCCCCATGCAGGATAGCAGAACTGAAAGCAACACAGCACAAAGACAACCTAGAGTGTGTGCTGATTTAGAACAATATGTGGATGTGCACATTACATGTTTCATTCCTGTCTACTAACCACTTGGGCACTTCATGCTGCCTGAGATGTACAAACTATGCATCGTGGGGTCAGCACTGCTCTCAGAGGCCCTGGGTTGTCACTGGAGGCAGGGTCACACCTCATAGGACTGCATGGCAAGCATCTCACATGTGCCTGACACCTCAAATCTTCATTAACAACCTCAGTGCACACACATCTTTTTTTTTTTTTTTTTCCTTTTAGAACACACATCTTTCAATGCTTTTTCTCAGGAAAAAGTCTGACCTCAGGAGGTTTTATTTGCAGATGGGCCTTCATTGAGGTTAATGGGATCTCACATGTGCCTGACACCTCAAATCCTCATTAACAACCTCAGTGCACACACATCTTTTTTTTTTTTTTTTTTCCTTTTAGAACACACATCTTTCAATGCTTTTTCTCAGGAAAAAGTCTGACCTCAGGAGGTTTTATTTGCAGATGGGCCTTCATTGAGGTTAATGGGGTCTTTAAAGGGCCTAATCTGATGGGACAATGCCCTTGTTAGGGGCCTGCTTTTTCCCAGCAGGAACAAGGAGAAAAGGCCAGGTAAGGCCCAGGGCATTCCCTGAACCCAACCTGCAGTACCTTGATCTGGCACCACCAGCCTCAGAACCGTGAGAAAATAAACTTCTGTTGCCCTGGCAGCCCAAGGAGACCATGATGACACCCAAAACACCCTGCAAGGTGGAGAGAGTTCAGAGAGGTCAACTGGAGGGATTTGCCCCATGTCACCAAGTGAGCTAACAGAGCTTGGGGTCCTTTCTTGTTCATTATCTTGAGGCTCAGAGAGGTTCTAGGTAACTTAAAATTATAGCTAGTATTATGAAAATTGTGAGAACCAAACATCTGCCAGCTCCAACTCCAGTACCCTGGAGCACAGGCCTGCAGCCTGAGGCCTCCTACATCTGTGCCAGTCAGAGCCACAGCAACTCAAGCCCAACAGCACTTCCAGTGGACCCAGACTCAGCAGACACCATTGCAGGGCAGTTCCTGGAACTACTCATATGATTAT